AATATATATTATATTGTAATTATATATATTAAATTATAGTATAATATAATATAGTTGTAATTTTTAATTATCCACAGCAATTTAACCTCATAATTTATCAAATGCTATTACATTGATTTTGGAACCAGCACAACTACTATAATTATAGTTTACCAAACACTCAGCTGCTTTTTGTAACAGCTGCTTCTTCCTTCAACACGGCTAAAAGCAATTTTTTTAAAATCTACAGCACTACTAAACTAAGCCTTAATCAATTAATAGTAATCTCTTTATGCAAAATTCAAGAGGATAGTGAGTCAAAGCTTTCTACCTATCTGATTTAAAGAGCAAAGTGAAATGGGCTATGATTAATTTCGAAAATGTGATCTTGAAAGTTGAAACTGACTGGGTGATTCCTTAAAAGGAATAAAATACTGACTTGGTGGTGATTAAGATATAATCTCCTTTTGAATTATTTTGATCCATGAGGAACTCAGATTTTGAAGAGAAATAAGATTTTTTTTTTTTTTTTTTAGTGAAACCAATGCATATTACAAACTCATGCAAAAATAAAGGTCACGCACCAAATACTTTCCACATTGTGATCTTTAGAAATGATTGCCAACAAAATGCTGGTCAACGTCTTGGAGTTGACTTTGTTTTGCTTTATAAATTAGTGAATCCTTTGCCATTAAAGTCCGTATACTTTCAGCGGAAGGTTAGAATTTAGAATGAAGTGACATTGCTGTTAGTACAAGCTCCTCTCAAATTCTTCTTGTATTTCAATTTTGCATATCATGAATGACTTTTGCCTTATTCATGCTCTCCAAATCTGACGTGGTTTTGAATATGCATAAAGAGTTTGTCAAGTCTGAGTTGACTTTATTTTATTTCATTCTTCCAACATAAAAATATAAATTCTCCGCTTTTTGAATCAGGAAATTGGATGTTATGATGTTGGTTATTGCTTTCTAATTTTAAAGGACACTTCTTTGTCTCAAGGGTTGTTTCTTGGGAATGAAGCTGCCATTAGAGTCCTCCAGAGTCAAGTTGCTCTTTTTAATTGATAGAATCCATTTCTATTGCTTTATGACTGCCTATAATACTCTAGATAGTTCACTTTTTAATTGTAAAGAAGCTTATTCTTGAATTGCAATGTATATAATTTGTCAAACGAAATATCTGAGTTCACAAGCAAGTTAGTGAATAATTTTAAGAAGAGGGGTTTAGCACGAATTATCTAATACGTGTAAAGTAACACATTTTGGTTGACACGTTTTAGAAGACTGAACTCTGTGCAAGTGGTTTATATGGTTGAAATAAATCCATAACTCAGTTCTAGAGAAGGCTGGTTTGAATGGATGGGGCAACTAATGGTGCAGGATTAGGAGCGCCTCATGGAAGTCACATGACTCGAAGAACTAGAATCAATAAGGTTGGCCTAAAAAGTATCTGAAAGGGTTAGAAGGATTTGGTAACTCTTGGAAGTTGCAATAGGAGATCATGGGCTCACTTCATGTGTGTATCCTTATAGCCTAAACGTTAAAGTAGCAACATCAGTAGTACAATGAGGTGCACAAGTAGCAGTGACATTGGAAGTCACTCTAAAGAGGCAATAGCATCGATGTAGTGGGTGCAATACGAGTAGTTGAAGTGCCGGAATTCCTAGAAGAATACTGAGGCCCCATTCCTTTCACGGTTCAAATCATAATTCAGCCATTTTGCTATAGTGTTTTCTCTCATAAAAATTTGAATTTCAGCTTAAGTTTTCCACTCGAACCAGAAAAAAGAATGGGGCCTAAGTGTCCCATTACGTTTGTAGGGCTATTAACGATATAAATAAGTAATGAAGCTAGATATGTATATTCAAAGGGAAAAAAAAGGGTTAAAAGAAGGATCTCATCAATTTTCTCTGTAGTATCTGAGCTTGAGTTTTGGTTGGGCTGAGTGAGTGTTTTCTAGCTTTTATAATCCCGACATGAATGAATCATTCTGTGATTGGAATACAAATCAATCGAGTGGGGAAATATTGTAGTCATCGTATCAATTTGTTTCTTTTAAATTAGTTTTGGCAAATTATGGATGAGATTCCACATTTGATAGTGTACTTTTCCACGAACCATGACTATCCATGAGCAGTTTGTTTCTATGTAGCTTGTCATGTAGAAACCAATCAGTGGATACAAGTTTTGCTGTGCCCTGTCTATTCTTCAGTTTGTAAGGGCTCCGTACATGTGATTCCCCACTCTACTAAAGCAATATACTCCTCATCTTTAATCTTTATGCTGTTTTTGGTACGATGCTAAGAAAATAGAAAGGAAAGAAAAGGTATCTAACCTGGGTGAGAAAAATGGAGAGGAAGGGGAAGAACTTTCTTGTATTGCTCTTATCATGGATTCCTTCCTCTTTAATCCCTCTATATTGGGAGAGTGAAATTGGGGATCTTTAAAAAATCCCTCACCCAATGCATTCCCTCACCTTCTCTCTTCTACCAACAACCACGGGTTCCAAAATGCTTTCACTAATCCCCTTACCTCTCTCCCTCCTTCCACTTTTTCCTGCTACCAAACAAGCTCTTAGAGTTTGAGTCATGTTATAGGTCGGTGCAAATCCATTTTGGCTGTTGCATGCTTATATGTAGTTGGTCCATTTGCTATAATATTATGTTCATGGGCGTTTGTGTACAATGATACCATTACGGTAAGTTTACCCCCTTCTTTTTTTCATTGGTTGCAATCCTCAGCTGCAGAAATCTGGAAAGGCCAGTGCAGATTCCACAGCGGCTTATCAAAAACTAAAGGGAGATCTACAGGCAGTGTTCAATGTGCTTCCGAAGGATATGCAACAGCTTCTGCTTCTAAATCCTGAAAAGGCAGCTCATCTTCAAGGAAGTCCGGAACATACAAAACTTCCTGGGCGCCCACTCATACAAGTTGGAGTTATGTCGTCAATTTTGCCTAGGTAATATGCAGAACACGGCTTAAGCTGAGTCAGTTAGCATCCGCTGTGCTGGTTAAATGACAACATATGTGAGAAGTCCATGGCTTCCCTCTGTTACTGAAAAAAAAAAGCATTCCCTCGTCAGGTACTTAATCCACGCGCCATCCTTATTCTTTACAAATACAGTTATCCACATTGTAACATTTGCAGTTTCTTTTCGACTTTTTATCTTGCTGCGAAAGGAAAAGAAAAAAATCGGAGTAGCTGTTGACTGTTGTATGAAACTGCGGGTACTCTTAAATTATTCAGCTTCTCAGTTAACTGGAGATAGTTTATCTTCTTCTCAACCAACCAAGAAAGGTGATTTTGTTTTTCTTTAATGGTTTTCTGGGAGCCACTAGTTGCTGTCATCAAGAGTCGAGAATTATTCGTGTTATGTAATTTTTTTTCCTTTTCTTAATTCTCAAATTGTCTGTAAGCTAGTAGCTTAATATAGCAATGACTATGGGAAAAAATTCCCAAGGTGTAGATGTTGTAAATTCAACAATATTTGTTTCACTCTTTGCAATGGGATTTTACCTTTTATAAAGTGCAGAATCCATTACTTTCTTGCTGGTGAAAAGAAGAAAGAAGCAGCAGTACGTTTCTTTCTATTCAGCTTCTAAAGGTCTCTGATATTGATGCCTTTCTACGGATTTAGTTTTTAGTTAGTATAAATAAGGACTTATTCAAGTTGTACGTAGGAGAGAGAGAGAGAGAGAGAGAGAGAGATGATCGTCAACAATTGGTTATTGCAATAAATATGACTAGTAATAAATATGAGAAAATACTTGAAAATAATATTTTGAATTCATTCTTTGACCATTTTCAAGATGCACCAAACAAATTTAGTTTATGGATATTATAGTTACAAATGTCCTGTTGAGCATTTCATTCATTTGAAGGCCTCTAGAAAGACTTGATTTTGTTTGTTTGTTTATCTGGCTGAAACTTATAAAAGTACTTATTAGCTATTTCACTATTGTTTTGTATGGTTTAAATCACATTTAGCAACAGTTATTTTATTTTATTTTTTCTTTTGGCAGCCGAAAGAATAAAAGGATATGATTCCCTTTTATGAATCCCATAATGTTTTCGAGTGTGACCTACAGAAGACATGACTGTCAAGTTATTGTTATGGTTGAAAGATTCCCATGTTCTGAAAGGAAAAGGGAAAAGATTCTAGTGGTAAAATTGGACCACAATGCAAATCTTATCCCTTTCATGATCTGTCAAATTGCAAACTGAGAATTGATTGTTGAAAGGTGACCCTTTACGATTTTCTTCTCCTAAAATCTCTGGATATCTTATAGATTTTGTTCGACTATGCAATTTTGGGCCCCGGTCTGCCTCGCAGCTACAAAGATATTAGAGGCGTGTGGGTACTTGGGTGGATCTGCTTCTTGGGCGATTCGTCTACCATGTGGTGAACATTTGGGTGGGCGGCAATGTCTTCTTTGGCGGCAGGCAGTGGCAAAGCGTGGATCTCATGCACCAGCAAAGATTGCTCTCTCCACTGCGGTTCTGGTCCTGTGCAGCATTATGTTCCCTTATTCTTTTGCTCACGGTGGCCGGATTACCTCAGCTAGCTTCTGTGTTGGAGCTTTATCTCCATTCAGTAGTAGTTGTTTACTCGAATCATAACTCAAATTTTTACTAGTGTTGTCTCATAAAAATTTAAATTTAACTTTTTCTATTACAATATTTTTAAATTTACTTTTAAAAGTATCTAACAAAACTCTTCTCTCGTTTCTTTGATTGGCTACGGTTCGGAAAATTAGTTTGATTCTTCATTTATTGCCTTCTCAAAGCGACAAATAAATCATTAATTGCTGATGAGAAATGTACTTTGTCCTAACTAGCATGTCAAATATCATCTCAATCAGGTTAATATGGTCAATGACAAATTTTGGATCAAATAAATGCACCATTGTCTTCCTAATTGCGCACTATCCCTCGTTTGGTATTAGTTTTGGAGGCTACTTCTACTTATAAAAATTTACAATGTGTTTGAGTGTTTGATAAAAACTGCAGTTTATAAAGGGATTTTGTTGTATGTTTAAATTTATTTAAATAATCTTAATAATAAAACAATTTTATCAATCTATCCATTTTACTTTTTTCCCATTACCTGAAAGTAAATATTGTTTTACACATATTTTAATTAATAAAAATCAAACTATTATTTTTTAAGTTTTTGGAGTAAAAATATTATGAAAGTTTACCTTAAAATTATAAATATCGTACTAAATTATGTCTAATTTAATCATCATATATCTCTTAAATAATTCTGTTCATAATTTACTAAACACTTAAACTTCTGCTCATGGTAGATTTTTTTTTTTAAAAGAAAAAATTATCAAACACCTACTTACTGTTAGTCATAGTAATTTATGACTAGCGGTACAGCTATAACAATTATTTTGAAAAGCACAAAAATACATAATTAACACTATATAATCCTTGAGCAAAACAATATACGTGCGAGCACACAAAAAATGATGATGATAATAATAATAATGGTGATGCCGATAATAATGATGATGATAATAATAATAATAATAATAATAAAATTAAAAATAAAATAATAATAATAATGATAATAATAATAATAATGATAATAATAATAATAATGATAATAATAATAATAATGATAATAATAATAATAATGATAATAATAATAATAATGATAATAATAATAATAATGATAATAATAATAATAATGATAATAATAATAATAATGATAATAATAATAATAATGATAATAATAATAATAATGATAATAATAATAATAATGATAATAATAATAATAATGATAATAATAATAATAATGATAATAATAATAATAATGATAATAATAATAATAATGATAATAATAATAATAATGATAATAATAATAATAATGATAATAATAATAATAATGATAATAATAATAATAATGATAATAATAATAATAATGATAATAATAATAATAATGATAATAATAATAATAATGATAATAATAATAATAATGATAATAATAATAATAATGATAATAATAATAATAATGATAATAATAATAATAATGATAATAATAATAATAATGATAATAATAATAATAATGATAATAATAATAATAATGATAATAATAATAATAATGATAATAATAATAATAATGATAATAATAATAATAATGATAATAATAATAATAATGATAATAATAATAATAATGATAATAATAATAATAATGATAATAATAATAATAATGATAATAATAATAATAATGATAATAATAATAATAATGATAATAATAATAATAATGATAATAATAATAATAATGATAATAATAATAATAATGATAATAATAATAATAATGATAATAATAATAATAATGATAATAATAATAATAATGATAATAATAATAATAATGATAATAATAATAATAATGATAATAATAATAATAATGATAATAATAATAATAATGATAATAATAATAATAATGATAATAATAATAATAATGATAATAATAATAATAATGATAATAATAATAATAATGATAATAATAATAATAATGATAATAATAATAATAATGATAATAATAATAATAATGATAATAATAATAATAATGATAATAATAATAATAATGATAATAATAATAATAATGATAATAATAATAATAATGATAATAATAATAATAATGATAATAATAATAATAATGATAATAATAATAATAATGATAATAATAATAATAATGATAATAATAATAATAATGATAATAATAATAATAATGATAATAATAATAATAATGATAATAATAATAATAATGATAATAATAATAATAATGATAATAATAATAATAATGATAATAATAATAATAATGATAATAATAATAATAATGATAATAATAATAATAATGATAATAATAATAATAATGATAATAATAATAATAATGATAATAATAATAATAATGATAATAATAATAATAATGATAATAATAATAATAATGATAATAATAATAATAATGATAATAATAATAATAATGATAATAATAATAATAATGATAATAATAATAATAATGATAATAATAATAATAATGATAATAATAATAATAATGATAATAATAATAATAATCATCATCATCATCATCATCATAATAATAATAATAATAATAATAATCATCATCATCATCATCATAATAATAATAATCATCAACATAATCATAATAATCACAATAACCATAATAATCATAATAATCACTGTCATCCTCATGGTGCATGGGCCACTAATAGTTGAGAATAAGTATTCCGGTTGGTTTGGAAGGAAAAATCATAGACCAAACCAAAAATATTAACCAATTTTAAGTTGTTTTGAATTTATGAAATGAAATCAAATAAACTGAATCATAAAAAATTGATTTAGTTAGTTCAGTTTGGTGGAGTTAGGTCATGTTTAAATCCAGGAATTTTGGCGTGCATAAAATTCGAGTTACAATATGATATTCGTTAGTTTTTAAGTTTTAAGTTGTTGAAAGCTTTTCTTAAGTATAAATAAAAGCATAGATGAAATTAACTTTTTAAGAAGAATTTGACAGGTATGAGAATATAAAAAAAAAATGAAAACTATAAGGAGAAAAAGGACCTTCTAAAAATGATAAACAAAATAATTAAAAACCAGACACCTGCAAATCAATTAAATCAAACCAATTAAATGTAAAACCCAATCAATTAATTTGATGGGAGTTCTCTAATAGGACTTGAAAAATAAATTACCGATAATTTTCTACTTTTAACTGTCATATATATATTAAAAATTTTCTACTTTTCATACTTTTTAACCTAATGTGATTTACAATCAAAATTGACTCTATGGAGAAAGTCCTTAATTTGATTTATAAGTTTTGATCAAATTTTAGAGTATGATATCTTTTTTAGTGACTTTCTCTGATAGTCCTTGTAAAAATAAATTACCGGTACTCTCTTACCTTTTAGCCATCAGATCTCTATCAAAATCTGTTGTTTTGCATATTTTTTTAATCAAATGTAATTTTGACAAGATCTAACGGTTAAAAATTGAGACTATCGATATGACAAACTACCGGAAAAATTCTTTTTTTTTCTTAACATCTATAATCAGTGAATATTTGTAGTATTGGGGAAAGGGTTGAATCTTTGTAAGACTTTTTTTTAAAAAAAAAAAAAAAAAAAAAGTTTTGACTGATTCGTTTTTTCCCCTTTTTCTTTCTCCTATAACTGCTCATAGACAATTTGGAATTGAACTCTCTTCGAGCAGTTTCACATGAGAAAGGCAGGTATAATTGATTGCTGGGGACAAGAACTAGACATTCATCTGATTTCTATTCATTTTTTTAATTAAAAAATTTTGGAAAAACATTTTGAAGGCGACATTCATGAGGTCATAGGATCAGCGCCATTCAGTTGGGTATTTAATATGTCGAAATATGCATATCCTTTTTTTTTATTATTATTCAAAATTACGACTAGAAACATTGTCTTCAATCTTTATTTTTTCAAGTTTTATTTCTATTAAA